GCGAATCCAGCATCCAATCGTAAGAGTCGTAGAACGTTTACGAGTGCACTCGGAAAGTTCGGTTAGACATTGTTCGGAAGAAAAAATCAAATAAAAACAAAATGATATCGCCGAAGCGTAGTCATTTCTGTACTTCTAGATATCTAACGACTTCAGAATGAGTACAAAAGTATGGCTGTATGATCAAAAGCAGCAGTGACATTATTCTTGCGACAACCTAATATTGCGGTGGCCTTGAATTAGAGTCAAAGTCAACCAAAGGTCTATTCGTTGGAATGTGAACAATAACTTCATGTTTAGGTGACCGTTTTGGACGCCAACCATTGCTTAGGATCGGTGATGTTTTTATTCGAAGGTAAATCCTACTGTACAGTGCGAAAATAGGTTTAATTCATTATTTAGAGAACTACTAACTGTGTTAGACGTGCATTCAGGAATTTTGAGAAAGCAAGTTCACATTTGAAATCTTATCGTAATGCGCTCCAATATAACACACTGATAGGCATATACAGGTCAGCGGTCGGTGAAAAGACAAACCATCTAGCATTCGGGATCAGGCAACCTCGTTTTTGGAATGCGTTGCACATTCAACTCGCATTCATAATCGTAGTGCCATCTTGAATGAGGTCTTAGCTTACAGAGTGAGGCGCGAGGGCCAGCCAGTGTACAACACAGTGCTAACTACGCATTGGTAGAAGGCTGTTGGTCTCGACGTCAAAGATCCAATATTTGACCCTCGGAGCGCGCGAGTGGGCTTCCGAGGAGTGAACGACCTCGGCCGAAAGAAGCTAGTTCGAATTAGGGACTCTAAACGTAGGATCGCTAACTGGGAAGTCCCGAGAGGTTGCTGATGATGACGCGCAGGAATATCCAAGTCCTATGCCTTCAGGAGACGCGATGGAAAGGTGCTAAGGCCAGGGAAATCGGGGAAGGTGTCAAACTCTACTACAATGGAGAAGACACCAAGCGGAACGGCGTGGCCATAGCGGTAGCGGAGTCGCTCAAGGACTATGTCTCCGCTGTGAACAGGATCAGCGAACAAATCATTGACAGAGGAGGTGGAATGGGTACACGGAGGTAT